TATATTTTGGTAACCTTCATTTTTTATTTTATACTTTCACCATTTGTTCATTTAAATCCATGTAATTTCGAACCCTCTATTTTTTTTCTTTCATTTTCATTTTATCTCATTCATTTCTACCATAATTTTAGCATGACGCTTTACTCACTAAATTTCTTGAAATGTAACAATAATTTGTATTAAATGATTTCAATTATGTATAAATTTCATGTTAAAATTTTGTAAACAAGGACCATGTTGATTATCTTTTAAAAGTATAAGGACTAAAATAGACTAAAATGGATATTTTAAAAATATAGGGATTACAATATTTTTTTAAAGAACACTTTTAGTTACCTAAAGCCACTTAGAAGATTATACTGAACACATAAGGTGTGTTTGAAAGTGATTTTGACATCACCAAAATCAATTTTGTCATTGTCAAAATCATTTCCCTTTCTGGACAAGTTAAAATTTTGATTTTAGGAAAATTTAAAATTACTTTAAATTTGTTTTTAAAGTATGAATTGGACAGTAATTTTTAAGTTAGTAACTCTCGCAAAGGTGCTGGTAGAAAACGTGGTTTTATTTAAAAAGCTTTTTTTTCCTTAAAAAATCATCCAAAAGGCACTATTAGTGAGTTGACATCCCAAATTCACTAAAATGTTCCAATTTTGGTATCTTATGTTTTAATTGTACTATTCCCGGAGGTAATGTTAAAATTGGCTAAACATAAATTTATACCATGACATATTACTTAGTTGACATAAATTTAGAGAGTAAATTAAGCCATCCAATAGAAGAATATTTTATAATTCCTCTTTCAAAATTTATTAGAAATAGGAACAACTAATTCATTTTCTAAAAATTCATCTCCCTTGTTATATATCTAATTTTAATATTTACCAATATGAATGATATAATTGAAAATTGTTAAAATATAGCACGTTCAATTGAAAAATTGTAAACAGTAGAGATTAAAAAATGTCAAAACATTAGAGACTAAAATATATATTTCGCTAAAATATTGTGTAAAAAGTTATTTCAAGGCTCCAAACACACCTTGATAGAGTACACCCACGGTTTACACCATGACTACACCTTCCGAGGCTCACCACTTCTTTATTCGACATTCGAGGATTCACCGACACAGTTAGGTTTAGACTATGACTCTGATACTACTTGTTAAGGACAACGGTACTCCAAGTACCTCGAGTATCTCGACAATGGTATGATACTGTTCACTTTGGGCATAGTCCTCACGGCTTTGTTTTTTGTTTCACCAAAAAGACCTCAAAGGAGATAATTGTTCTCTCTTATATACACATGATCATTTGAGACTTTGTTTGCAATCACCTTACAAACCCAACAATATAGCGAAAGACTAGGATTGGAAACAAAACTGAATGTACTGGATTTTTAGCACGTACAACCCGTAGGCCTTCTACCTCCGCCTTTAGATAACAAAAAAAGGTGTCCGCCCCTTAGGTCGGCAAACTACGACGAGAGTTTCGCCTTTCGTAGCGGTGAGCGAGAGCGGATTGGGGGTTTGAAGAAAAACAAACAGATCACCAGGAATTTCTTTGAAAGCTCGACAGGGTCTTTTGATGGGCCAGTAGATCTGCAAAAAGTTGCCCCTTTATCGCATCCTTTATCCCAAAATCGAACAAAACGTCTGAACGTCCGTCTCCAGTTTTCCGGTAGATAAGATCTTTGAGATTGACCAGCCATGACCAGCATTGGATTAATTCATTCCATGCTTGATCTACGCCCGATTAGCCGTCTCTATGGGATTCTTACATAGGAAGTCCTCATCTGATGATGCCACTTGTTGCTGTTGATGGCCGTTGCAGCAGCACCGATGCCGGCTCTCCTGGTTGAAAGGTCTGAAAGAGAACGTTGTTCTAGGAGGGATGATACCCGTTGGTACCGTGCTCTCTGAACCAAACGTGAAAGTCGTTTTCTATCAGACGACGAAGGTGCTAAAACCTAAAACTAGGCGAACTTACTTCAACATAGGGACCAATATATATGCTTTCAAAGTATATAATTATTAAAATTAACAAAAGTTAAAATTACGATAACCAAAATAAACCCAGAGGCAAGTATACAAAATAAAATTTAAACAAATAAAATATACATGTATGTTATTTTACCATTTTACCCTTTATTGGGCAGAAATGAATAGATACCAATATAATGTGCAAATCCATGGGAGACCGAGAGAAGATGCTGAGAGAAAAATCCACTACCAAACCCTCGCGTTTAAAATTAATCCAACCTTTTAATAAAAATTAAATTAAATTTTTATTAAAATGTTCTTAGTTTTTTCTTCTTCTTTCAAATAGTAAATCGAGTTTTAGAAAAAACTTTCCTTTATAGCTATGAAATAAAATAGATTTGAATGTTATATTGGTTATATACTTTATGGTTCCGAATAAAATTTAGTGCATGTATAAAAGTATCAATTACGGATTTTTTTTTTTCAAAAAATGAATAGTTAATTATTTATCCACATTTGTTGTATTAGAAAAGCAAAAATTCAACATTAAAGTAATGAATTGAGTGAGGTTAGTTATAGTAAGCCTTGATAAAAAAGGTCGACATCTATTTGAATAGTACATAATTAATTGTATGGATAAAGTCACACTAATCTGTCAAATATTTAGTCCAATTCTATTTTCCTTGGAATTATTTGTTATTACAATTAATACAAGTTACAAAAATTTAATCGACATAATTTGTTGTAGTTCTAAAATAATTTTTACACTTGCATTTATCTACTTTTTAATTGACAATCTAACATAATTCAATTGGTTAATATGTATAATATGCTCGATCAAGAAGTTGAAGATTTAAACCATAATATATATACATATATATATAGAGCTTTAAGAGCCAACCTAAATGAATTTTTTGAAACTATTGCGGTGTATATATATAACTTTAAAAGGCAACTTAAATGAATTTTTTGAAACTATTGCTGGAGTGGTAAGTCATTCTTTGAACACCCAAATAATTGGGTTAATTGGGTTTTTCAAGCCCTAGAGGTTTTCTAAACATCCATGCCTCTTAATCGATCAGCTTGACTCAAATATTTTATAGTTGGATTATTTGATAATAGTCGTTTGCATTGAATGAATTTATAGTCCGAACAATCGATTGAGTCTAAAAAGTACCTCAAACATTGACATTTCTACATGTCATATCATATATTTTAAATATCTCGATTTTGTATTACTTTTTTTTTAAATTCTCGTTATATTACTCTTCATTTAATGATAGTAATCTCTAATAATAAACTTAATAAAAAAAGTATTTAAAAAGAATAAACTTAATAAAAAGATTGATGGGATAATAGAATTTTTAAAACATACGATTTAAATGGAAAATAGTACAACATTTTACATGGACCCACATGTACTAATATTGTAATTTGGTGTTTTTTTCCCTTGTAATCAAACCCAAAAAATAAAAAGTAAACGCAAATTTGCAATATTTTATATTCGACAAGCTTATAATAAGCCCTTTACCATAATGTTATACGTACATTCGTTGACTTATAATAAAATCATAAAATAAAATCCACGAAGATTAGTAAGCTCAACTACATTTGAGCACGTCATTTTTTTCCCTTTTTTTAATCGAAACGAGCCCAACATTATCCTAATAACTCATTGGTATTTTTGTTATAATATTAATTTTTCTCTCTCAATTTCATTCTTACTTACTTCATATACCTTTAGCTTTTGTTCGCTTGGTCTTTGAGTTCATTATCTATATATTTTCAAAATGTTTGTTTTAGTTCTACTTTAAAAAATGACTATTTTTGTTTTATTGGTAAAATTTTAACATAAATTATATACAACAAAAACCATTTAATGTAAAATAATTATTACATTTTAAGAAATATATTCAATGTAGTATTGTATTGAAATTGTGATTAAAAAAGATTAAATTTAAAATTTGGTATCAAATTTGATAGTTTTTTAAAGTACAGGGACCAAAATAATTTTTTTAAAAGTATATTGACTAAAATGAATCAAAGTTAATCAAAGTTACATGGACAAGATAAAGAGTGGACCCTAGTCTATTTTTTATAAACAAAATGTGGCCTTAATTCATTTTTTCTCTTTTTATTTTTTATCTTTTTTTTGCACTCTTTAAAATGTTGAAGGACGGAGAAGAGATTTTAAATTAATGTTAAAATTTATGCAAAATTTAAGAACTAAAATAATATAAATATAAAAATTCACGAGCCAAACTAATATTTTTTTAGTATAATATATCCGATGATAAAACTTTTAGTTGGACGATTAATTAATAATAATTTGTTGCAAAAATAATAATAACAATCATATTCCGGAGGAGTAGAATATTAAGATCCCGGCGGTTTGGTAATGTTTTTACGGTTTCTTGTTCATCTATTGTTTTTTGTTTCTCACGCTATAATTTTTTTTCTCATTTATTTTTTAATAAAAAAAATTGAAACTGTTTTGTTCTTCTTTTTTCTTTAATTGAAAGAAAGGGGGAATAATCATTCTTATTTACTGTACTCAATTTTAACTTAAAAATTTATAAATTTATAAATAAAAATTAATTTTTGAAATTAAATATTCAAAATTTTCATGTTTTATTTATTTCTTAATTATTTATTACAAATTTTACAAATCGATAAAACAATAATTTTATATGTTTAAGAAAAAATGAAAATAATAATAATAATCCTAAAACTTGATTTTGTTGTTTTCAAAAATTCTATATAATTTTGAAATAAAAAATTACCAAATGCTTGTATTTTTCAAAATCTAGAAACAATTATATTAATAATAAAAGTTTATAATTTATTTGAAAATTAAAAGGCTTATTTATTAATATAAATATTTGATAATAATGAATTTTTAAATTTGTACGAAATAATATGTATCATGTTATTGGTGAGTGGAAAATAAAGGAAAATCGAAAGGGTAAAAATGGAAGTAGAGAAGACTTTATATTTTTCGCGGTTGCCTTGCTGAAAAGCCTCCTCTCTCCTCTCCTCTACAATCCACGGCCAGGGAGAGAGAGCCGAGTCACCGCCTCTGCTTCATCTTCATCTTCTTCTTCATCTTCTTCTTCATCTTCACAGCTCAATCTGGAAACTTATACGTCTCATTTTCATCTTAATTTGTCACTTTGGATGAACTTTCTCTCGGCCTTCAGCAGCAGCAGCAGCACTGGTTTGTTGGATAATTTATCTCTTACAAGAACGTTTCTAGACTTCTTTTGGTTATTGCTTCTCGCTTCCCGCTTCCGATTGCGACTTTATCTTGGAAATACGGTATACTTCTTGCTTTTCTTTGTCAGGAGGTATTTTTTCATGTGCTGGTTGTTGAGTGGCGAGGTTCTTCTTCTTGTTTGATTGCTCGAATAGTGGACGGAAATGGAGAGATATGGATTTATCGTTCTGCGTATTGGTTAATGGATTTTGTGAATGTTAGTCGAGTCTCTTTATTAAGACTGCCGGTTATGAGTTGCTCGATGATCGAGGAATTTTAGGCGTTGAAATTATATGATTATGTTATGTGTGCTATTTGTTTTTCCCCTTTCTTTCTTGCTTGTGGCGTTAATGGAGTAGGAAATAGAAAGTAAATCGATGATGATGATGATGATGATGATGATGATGATAGTTCAAATTGTACAGGGGCTTTGGATAGTAGTAGAAGTTTGAGAGATGGGGAACACAATGGGAGGGGTCTGTTCCAACGGAATTGCTAAGGATGATTTCGTGTTGGAGAAGAAAACGGAAATATCTGATCAGGATCGGAAGGGGAATTCCTGTTTGATTTCTGAGGCAACTGACCCGGATTATTTGCCGCAGAAGTCTCGTTCTGGTGTGATACTATTGCCCTCACCTCCGTCTAAGACAGGAAGCAACAAGGTTTATTTAAATTCCATTTGCATTACCATTTAGATGTGATTAAAACCAGGTCGTGGCTGTCGACATCAAATTTATTAGTAAATCTTGTTTCCTCTCGGTCTAGACACTTGAATTTTGGTATTGAATTTCACGTTTATATGCTATCAAGAGTTGACCCCTTGAGAGATTAGTTGCAGGCTAGTGAGGGAATGTATTTGGATCCATGAGAAGTCAATGTAGGATTCCTGGAAGTTCAGAATTTTGTAACAAACAAATTCAGGATGTATAGAGAAGTCGATTGGTCTATTAGCATTATGTCGAATAGTGACTACTGATAGGTTAATCTGCCATTGAAAATCTGTAGCTATGTGAATCTTGCAAAAGCAACCTATGTGCTGCACTGTTTCATAGGGTCTTTCCGCGTGATTCTTTTTTGTTACTTAATGAGAAGTGTGAAGAATAATGACTATGCATATAGTATGTCACTGGAAGCTCTCACATATCCTTTAATGTGATCTGCATGACTGTGCCTACATCATGAACATTATTCTTATGTTTTCAATAATATTTTCATTTAATGTTTGAAGTGGTATGGAATTTATATGCCTTCTTGATTGAATAAAAAGGGCAAAGATGATATCATCCTATTTACATGATTTTAAGGGATCATTCCTTTTTCCAATATGCACACCCTTTGCTTGTGAAGGGCTTCAGATACATTTTCAATAATATAAGGGTTCCGGTCCATAAATAATGCAAAGCACAGATACTGAATTACATTACAGATTCTTGATTTTTCACCTGCAACGCTTGGCTCATATTTCACTTCAGGCTTTGATACGAAGTTCCGTCCATTATTGTCTGTCATATTGTATAGGTTGCACCAATGAACCCACAAGGAGGGGCGCGTGGGAGGGCAGTTGAGTTATTTAAAACAATTGGAAATAGTGTGTCAAATTTGCACACGAACACAGGGTTTTTTACAGGCACGGCTTCAAATGGTAGGGAGATTTCTATATTGGCTTTTGAAGTAGCCAATACAATCAGCAAACTAGCAAATTTGTCACAATCTCTCTCGGAAGAAAGCATCCAGTTCCTCAAAAAAGAACTTCCGCAATCCGAAGGGATAAAACAATTGGTCTCAACAAATATGGAAGAATTGCTAAGCATTGCAGCTGCTGACAAAAGGTGTTGCAGTCATGCAACGTGGTTGTACTTTTAAGCTTATCAGTTATCAAAGACAAACCTTATAATCTAACTCATATCATTTCAGGCAGGAATTTGATGCTCTTTTACGGGAGGTAATACGTTTTGGAAAGCAGTGCAAGGATCCGCAGTGGCACAATCTGGATCAATACTTCTCAAGGTAGTCAATATGGTCAGATCATTTTGCTCAATTGTTGTTGATGATCCAAAAACAATCTTGAATAATTATGATATTCCAGACTAGATTTGAATGATTCGAGTCAAAAACAAGCTCGAGAAGCCAGAGCAGCCTTGCAGGAATTGACTGTTTTGGCTCAGTATACTTCTGTAAGTTCAGTTTTTAGTTCAATTACTTCAAGCTTCTTATGGTTGTGCTGATAATTACTAAAAATGAAAATTTTCAAATTCCAATAATAACGTTTCTCTAACTTGAAATGTGTAGGAATTATACCATGAATTACAAGCATTGGAAAGGTTTGAGCAAGATTATAGGAGGAAGCTAGACGAAGTGGAGTACTTGAATCAAGCAGGAATAGGTTGGTAAACATCGAATTGCAATAATTGTTACATAAAGAATTTGATGTGAAGTTTGATGGACAACAAGAACATCTAAGTTTTTATTCAATGCTGTCTTTTTCAATCTTATTGTAGGAGAAAGTCTCACAATATTCCAAGGGGAATTAAACGTACAAAGAAAGCTTGTAAGGAGCCTACAAAGCAAGTGTCTTTGGTCCAGAAACTTGGACGAGGTATATAGTGTTAGCCATGTTTGAACAACTCAGTCTTTAGCAAAGGCCTGTTAACTTACAGTGACTGAAGATTATCTTTTCTCTGCTTTTCCTTCTTTGATGGACACCCCTGATCTTATATTCACTCTGATCAACTCCATACTTTTCTGATAAAAAACTTCAGGCATAGGCAGAAGGGACCGCTTACAATTTGCAAACTTATATTTTCTTTTTGTTCATCACAGATTGTGGGAAAGCTCGTCAACATTGTCACTTGGATATTTCAAACGATAGCCAAAGCATTTGGTGACAACAGCTCAGGTGCCTGCAAACAGTCATTACCCTTTTTTTTGTGTTCTTCCATCCAGTCTTTGGATGCATTTGCATGCTTGGTTATATGTGTATGCCACATGCGTATGCCAACGCGTAGCACAGCAACAATAAACCATTTAACTTAAACTCACTGTAATTCAAACCTACCATCGCAGGTAGACCATCGCTTATTGTGGACAGAAGTAGTGGTCAGAAACTGGGCTCAGTTGGTCTTGCTTTACATTATGCAAACATAATCAATCAGATAAACCTCATTGTAAGCTTACATATTCACCCCCTCCATTCGGTGTTCCAATATCGACTCTCATAATCAATATTTGGTTACTTAAAAATGCTGTTTCTTTGAAAGGCCTGTCGCCCAACATCCATTCCATCGAGTATGAGGGATGCATTATACCGGGCATTGCCTACAAGTGTTAAAGCAGATCTGCGCTCTCGATTACAGGCTGTAGATGCCAGTGAGGAGGTAAAATTTTTTTTTCTTTTTTTGACTATAGTTGTGAACCTTTGAATTCATGCAGTTGATACAGTAGTTTTTAACTGTTGAATAGATGTGGGCCTCGTAATTCCCACTCACTCATTACTAATTCACGAACAATGCAGCCAACTTATCTTAGTGTGAAAGCTGAAATGGATAGGACGCTCCAATGGCTTGTTCCAATTGCCGCAAATACAAGCAAGTATGCAAAATTTCCCCTTATCCACCAAGGATGAGTTCCAAAACTTTTGAAGGACTGTCAATTAAATGTATTTTTCAAAAATTTTCTTGGTTTAATAAATGTATTTTTAAGTGAAAACACTCCTGAAAAGAGTACCAATGAAGTACTTATCCTAAAAGCACCTTTCTTTCTCTTAATTCATTTCTGTTTTCCAATATGCCTCCTAATTTCACCATAACTGATGACAGAGCACATCAAGCTTGTGGACGGATTGGAGAATGGGCAAGCCAAAGGTTCGTTTCAGGATTCTTCTTCTCTCCTACTCCTAGAGAGAGTCCAAATTTGAATTGGGGCAACAATTAAAATGATTTCTCCATTCTTTTTCGTGTAGTAAGGAACAGAGCAGAGGCAGAGCCAAACAAAACAACCTGATCCGCCTTCAAACGCTGTACCACGCAGACAAAGAGAAGACAGAGCAATTCATCCTGGAGCTGGTCACATCGCTCCACCGCATCATCCATTTAGCCAAACAACAGCAGCAACGCTTCACATCTCTCCGCTGCCGATCTCCAACCCCCAAAGATCTGGCAAAGCCTCAGCGTCGGATCCAATTCAGGAGCCACATCATTGGAACCGCTTCAGCTTCAGCAGAGAACCAAACTCCGATCAGAAAGAGGGACCCTGGAAACAACAGAGGTATGGAAACCTCTAAAAACGAGAATAGAGATAGTAAGGGAATTTGGACTTTGGGGACCTGGAGTAGTTCTCTGAGTAAAGAGGGCTAATCTGGAAGCAAAGAAAGGAGAAAAGATGATGTATTACTATTAGTGTAGATAAGATAATATCATTTTTGAGTGCCCCCACATTTATACTAGGGAATTTTTTAGATTTATTTTCGCATAATTTTTACATGTAAAATTTCTCTCATAAATCTACTCAAATTCCTTTGTATATATTCTTTTGGGTGAGTTCTATTCCCCTCGTGTGTATATATATAACAGTGCACAGTGCTCCAAAAACTAATGGTCAAGAACTCAAATGAATCTAAAATTGAAAATGGAAATTTTGAACTAGATTTAAAATATGACCTTCAAGTTGGGATCAGATAGGAAGGAATGAGAGTGCCCAGTTGTCGTAACCAGGCGTTGGGGCAGACACCCATCTCGCATTCGACGCGAGAGCCAACCACTCATCACATCCCGTTAACTGCCTGAAGGATCATGCTGTGGCCATCCCCCTCGTCCCTTCTTATACTGCTCTCTCACGCCCTCATTGCGCGGCTCTTCTCGATGTGGGACGCAACTTTCACAACTCTTCCAATTCCCCATATTATTCAACAGATTTCATCTCTCTTTTGTGTCCCTTTTTTTTTCTTTTTCTTTTTCTTTTTTCTTTCAACTGTTCATTTCCTTTGACATGTTTAATGAATGAATCCAATATGGGAGGCCTATGTTTGGAAGTGTTTCATTGTGTTTTTGTGAGATTTTCTTCTGTTCGATTGGCGTTCTAGTTCTTGTTTTTTACTCGTGATTTCAAGTTTTTTAAGCGATTTTGGAAGCAATGAAAAATGCCATCAAACTTAAAAGCTCTCAAAATTCGATCTGCTATTGCTGCAAATGATGACACTTTAAACTATTTATTAATATGACAACATAAAATCTATTCCAAATTTCTCAGACTAATTTCCCACCAAACCCTAAATCATAACCCACACCTTATGGACTTCAAAACCCATTTTTAGCATTTGGCGGCCTAATCTTAACTTTTACTATTGGGATTGGACTCCTAATCCAATGGTCTTATATTACAACTTTCTCTTAACAAGCAATCTTTGACATTTTTCTGAGTGAAATCAAGCCTAACTTTTAATCCTAATCCTAATTAACTAGTACGTTTTATTTGATTGGTTGAAAATAATTTCAACACAACTATTCAATCCCTATGAAAAACACATGTATTCTCTATTAACTGTTATTGTCAGCACTACCAACTTAAGTATATGTTGAATTAATCTTAATTAATAAAATATATCATATCATATATAATGTATAATCATCAACTATTTTTTCATAGTTAATAGTCATTGGATTAAAATAACTCCTTTTTCATTGCTAATATATAGTTTTTTCATTCATTTTTTTGGAATATAAATTTTGGGTTTAATTATAAAAATAACTATAATTCAAACCCATTTGTTTATTTTTCAATATGTCACGGGGATACAGAATTATATAGGAAAGTATTTTACTGCAATGATTATATAAAGTTGGAAAAGGAGATAATTGTTCAAACAAAGATATTTAAATGTGTAATGCTGACAAACGGATAAAAAACATGATTGTGATTTATGCATCCTTTTTCTTTTTCAATTTTTAAAATCTACCTTTTTTTTTTTTTACAGATCGATTATATGACCCTTGTGAAACACATTAATTAAAAAAAGAAAAGTGATGTAAATTAAAATTAGCCAATTATATATTATATGTAAAGTGAGAGAAACAAAAGTTTAGTGCGTCGGCTGTGGTGAGGTTGACTTGTTAGTGTATAATCCAAGACATAAACCACTATTAGTTGCTTAATCATTCTTCCACTATTGCTAATAATAATTTATTGCACTTTTTTATTTTTCAATCTTATCTCTCGAATTTAATGGCACAAATTTAACTAATTTCATTTTCAGGTTAAATAAGTCAAATGGTCTATAACTTTCTAGTAATTTTTAATTTTAGATCTTAATCATTTGAATTTCTCAAATTTATTGTTAGTGTATTAAAATTTCTCAATTGGATTATTTGTTAATTTTTTTTGGGTACAAATTTAATGTTAATAAATTATTATTTTAGTCCAAAGCGAGCATAGTTTAGCGGTAATTAACATACACCTTCAAGAGGTTGTGAGTTCAATCCCCTCTCCAACATATTATACTAAAAAAAGAAATTATTTTAGTAATATATTTATATAATTGGAATTGAGGAGAGAAATCGATACGCTTATTTTTACTATTTCTTTAAAAAAGAGTTAGTCGTATCTCTGGGGTTTGTTAAGTTTAGAACCATTACTTTCACCTATATGTTACTCTCTTTTGTTTTTTTATACTGTTTTTATAAGCGTATTCTCAAAATTAAAGCCAAATTTTGAAAACAAATAAAAAATAGTTTTCAAAAATAGTTTTTCTTCTTGAAGTGTGCTAAGAATTCAAATATATTTAAAAATAGATGAAAAATTTACCCATGAAATTGTATAAAAACAAGCACTATTTTTAAAAATATAAAATTAAAACTGAAATGGTTATCAAATGACCTGCATTAACAAATTTTTTTTTTTTTAATGAAATGACATAATTGAAAATTTTTAATTGAGAATTTTAAAAGATTAAAATCCAACTCTAGAATCCCCTAAAATATTAAGAATTATTTTGTATGTGGTAAAAACTTGGTCTATATGCTAAGCACAATTGATCACAATGAAACGACACATTCAACAATGTCGTGTGTGCTCGTTAGGAGACCATCAAACTATGTGATAATCGTTTGGATGAAAAAATCATCCAAAGATATCTGCATTATTCTAAATCTAGTTAATAATCATATGAGGTATGCATTACTCAAGTGACTTTAAACTTATACTTAACTTTCCCATTGGTATCCATAATTTTCTTAAATTGCTATTAAGCTCTTAAATTTGATATTTTAAACAATAAAGATCAAATTAACAAGAACACTATTCAAACTTTTGTAGCCCAACACTCAAAAACGAAAGAAAAATTAAATTTGAAAATCTTTAGTATATAATTATAATAATATTATGAAACTTTAATAAAAGGAGCTGTTATTTTTCTCTTGTATAATCTGGAGATCTCATACCACAATCAATTGTGACAAAATTGATGTTTTTACATGAGTTTTATAAGTTATACTCGTGATTATCATAAAGTTATACTATTTTTGACCAGACGTGATAAAAAGAAAAATGAAAAATGAAAAAAAGTGGAAAATTGACATTTTCATCTAATTAATTTTTTTCTCAAAATTTCATTCATTGAATCTTTGATTGTCTTATTTACTCGAAGGTTAAAAAATTTTTACACTTCTACACTTTTAATACCTTTTTAACAGTCATGATTGTGATTGTTGATAAGAGATTTTATAAGCTTCTCACAACCACTTAATTACCAATATAAATAAGGAGAGATTAACAAACATTTAGGGAATAATTTCTCATTTTTTTTATTGTACCCTATTTGACAAAGGAATTACATGTTTATCTCGAAAATTATTGTTTTGCATGTATATGAAATATAATATCACAAAGGTAGGGGTGAATATTTTGATTTTTGATTTGTATAAGAGAATTTACTAATGCCTGGATGTGTTGAGTTATCATCATAAATTGACACAAATTATTTTTTTTTAATAACTTAATATTTGAACATAGTTTAGTGGCGTAACCTACTTATTACCATCTCATCTCTAAAGTCAATGGTTCAATTTCCCACCCCTACACTGTTGAACTAAAAAGAAAAAAAAACTTATTTGTATAATGTAATAAAATAAGACATGCTAAATTATATATTATAATGTTAGTTCATTTGTTTCAATTTTGTCACTATATTTTTTAAAGTTTAATTATCATTATTCCATTTGAAATAAAGGATTCAACTTACTATACATCCTTATCTTAACGAATTAATCAAATTTCAGCATACTAATTTACTTGTAGGTGTGACGACTAATGAATTTTATTTTAATAACATAAAGTATTGATAATATGTTACATTGGTTGGAAAATATGAATTTAAGACTTGTTTTGAAGTTAATGTTTTTTAGAAAAGTATAAAGAGTGTTAGATCAGTTGATCATGTTTTAAAATGCAACCTTGTCCTGTTTTATTGAATTAATTTATGCGATCACTTCTTTTTTAGGGTACTTAAACAAGGACAAAAATGCAATTTTTTTTCTTCAGAAAGTATGTTATTGATTTTATAGTTATTTTGCCAAAGTAAACTTGAAAGAAGTCATAACTTACTGTGCAATTAAATTGCATAACCTATGGTGGATGATGGAGAAATTATCAAGAACTTGTGAACCAATTACCAGCCTGAAGAATTTTCTTTAATAAAGATTTTTGACTGAATAAATACCCTTTCTTTTATTGGCAAATATTTCAATCATATCTTTTTTTTATATATACTTTTACTATATATATATATATCAGCAAACTATTTTTGCTATATCTAATACTTTCAACTATTTTTTTCAACTTTTTTTAAGGTTTTAAATACTATTTTTGTCTCTATACTTTCAAATTTGATTCATTTTAGTTTCTATACTTTTAAAATATACATTTTAGTCCCAAATTATATTAAAATAAAGTTAAGAGACTAAAATGATTATTTTTTAAAAGTAAATTACAACAAAAATTTTGAAAACACGTGAATTAAAATAAATATTTTAAAAATATAAGAATCAAAATAGTATTTTAATTTTTTTAATCGCAGAAACTGGTATTGAAATTGAAAGACAAGCAAGAGAACAGGATTGGGGATTGGGGAGGAAGAAAAAAATGGAGTTGGAAATATGAGGCAGAATTATGCTCAACTTTCTCACTTTCCAATAAAGAGATGGGTGCCAATTCCGCGAAACTGCACATAAAGTACCAATGCAATTGCAGCTCTTTAATCTTTTCGATGACTTTTTTTTTTTTATTGGATTGGAAAATTTTAATTTTTAGCCATGAATTATTGCAATTATTATTTCTTTTAGAAAGACTTGTAATTAATATTTTCTGAATATCAAATTAAAAAATTATACAAACTATTATAAAATTATGGAGCAAAATGAGTCACACAAATCACCAACAAAAAATATAAGATTTGACGAGATTTGACAAAATATAAAATTGGAAACAGAAATTAAAATTAAAAATAGAAAACATAAATTTAGAAAATAAAACATAATTTTCCACCAAAATCCACTAAAATTTGCTCATAAACCAATTAATAAATGGAATATTCATGACATTCCATCTCAAAACTAATTAACAAGGAGAGAAAGTAGTTCATTTCTATTATAAACCGTTGTAAAGTCTCCTTTATTTTCAATGTGGGATTCTTAACATACCCTTCAAGAATTAAACTCATAGTTATAGCATCGTTGGTGATAGAGTGAGGATATTCATATTTATCTTATGCATGCCTATTTTTTGTTACCTATTTTATCAAGTTTTATGGTATTTGCAAATAAATACATATATTTATTTTAAGTATAATATTTTTATCACTTAAATACTCCAAAAGAAAAAATATATATTTTTTCCTTAAATAATAGTAGTTGGTTTGTTAACAAACCATGGCATATCATTTTAGATCTTATTGATATATTTTAAAGTATTGTATACATTTTTAGTTATATATTCCCATGAATTTGATGATCACAATCATAGGTTTCGCTAATAATAACTAATATTTAAAAAAGTAATAATTCCATAAATTATAAGGGTTAGACTTGTAAACTATACTTGATACCTAATACATATTTTTCTTCATTTAGCCTTTTACTTTAACATCTAATGATATAAGTTTAAATTAAAAGTAGGCCTGATTTAAATTAAACAAAATGGCTGTTATACAGTGTTATAATTTGTTTGTGTCTTTTTTTTTTCTTTTTCCAGTGTTATAATTTGTTTGAACTTCTTTAGTAAATAGTTTTTAAAATTATTTATATAATGGTATGGTTTGTAAAATTTCACCTTATTGTACCGATTAAGATGTATTCGTAAATCTACAATTGTGGAGTAATACAATATAAGTATTTAACTAATCGGAACATAGATCAACTAATTAAGACAATTATCTTTGATTAAAAAGTTAAAGGTTGAAACCTCCCTCTCACCTTTTTTATTGAACTAATAAAAAAAATTCCTTATTTTATAAAATTTCTAGCTCTTCCCATGTCGACTTTGTTCACTCGACACATTTCATGCATAAGTTGTTTCCAATCTAACTTTTAAATTTTTGAAAAATATAATTTTATCACTTCATTTCTTAAATGTATAAACTTTACATGGAAAAAAATTCTGGTTCTTAGATTTTCAGTTTCATTTTCATTTAGTCTTTTGGGATTTCAATAATGCTCTTTTTTTTTTAATAAAATTGTATGATTTTAAAACCTAGAGTTCAAACAGAAACGATTCTTAAAATATATGGCATAAGAATATATTTTTCTCAATTAAATATATATCAACCCAAAAGATAACATAGCAAAGTATAAATTCATACGAGTCTCAATAGCTAAAATATGAAATAAATAATTCTTTTTACAGTAATCAATCAACATCGACTTCTAACATCATACTAATTTAATATTTATTATGATATTTGAGACTAGTGGGAAAAGTGAGGGAAACAAAAGTAAAAATGTAAATCTAAGAACCTAGAAATTGAAAATGTAATTTAAATCCTATAACTATAACCGAAAACATTATTCAATCTAGGCATGTAGCATGATTTTCCCCTTGGTTTTATTTTGGTTTTATCATAAAGACTATCTCTAAACCATGGATCCCTATTTTTCTTAATGTGAGACTTTGTGTGCACTCCTAAAATCATCCACTCGAACAAGTACGTCAATCCAAAATAGAACACAACCATATGTCAAATCGAATATAGCTCAAATGGTTCTATGAAGATCAATCCACCTCAACTCAAGTAGAAATATTTAAGGCTTTGCTTTTGATATCACACAAAATGTATTCCTGATAATAAAAATATCTCAATCATATTATATTATAATTGTCTTCTCCTTATCTAACCAACGTGAATTTTGTCGAAAAATTACAACCTATGTTACATCTTAAATAAAAAATATGTCAAAAGAATGTTGATATTTTATCACAAGTCCCAATTGTGATCCCCAATTGGAAGGGGCTGAGAGTGGAAGGTGGGCTAACTTCCCCATACCAATTACCCACTTGAAGGAAGCATGTAATCTGCGCTATGCTCCAAATTCCCAATGGCGGCTCTCCAATTCTTTCTGTTATCTGTATTTAATTCATCTCCCCTTCCCAGATTCAACCCTTCAAACTCCCCAAACTCTGGCTTCGCCATTCCCAATAAATCTGCAGCTTTAACCGCCATTGAACACTTTTTTATTTTCTTCCCCTGCTTTGGGTTGCCCCACCACTTAGCCGTTGCCCTCTTTTCTCCATTTCCCCACTCTCTCCTCCTACTTCTTCCTTTTCTATATATACCCATCCCCTGCTTTCTCCATTTTCTGCTCTCCTCATCGCCGGTGCATTCCGATCCTCTGCTTCGCCGGCCCCCAATTCTGTTTTCGGTTCTTGAGTCTCCTCTGTTTCGGATTCCGCTCCAATGGCTTCCCCTGTTCGGTTTCTGTTGGCTCTGTTTACTCTGCTGCTCTTCGTATCAGGTGTGTGTTTGTTGATGGAGCTGATTCATGATTCATGATTCTGATTTTTGGGCAAAGGGATTTTTCTTTCTAATTTTCTTGTGGGGGATTTTCGTTTTACAGGTGGGTTTTCCACGAGCTTTACTTTTCTTAACAGGTGTGGCTTCACGGTCTGGCCGGGCGTTTTGTCGAAC